GTGTAGATTATCCGTGTCATACAGTACAATAATATAATAGCAATTTTAGTAAACCCTGTTTTTAGTACAGTGAGATTTTTCTCAAGATTGTGGAAACATTGGCGTCATCACTTATTTGTGGCTCAGTGACTGTCATGCTTCTTTTTGTTTTCTTTTTCTTTTGTTTTTCTTTTGTTTTTACTATGGACCTCTTTTGTGTCTGAAATAAAGATTGATTGATTGATCTATTCCATACCTGGTTGGAGTATTTCAGAAGCTGCTCATCTGTTGGGATTTTTAAACACTGTTTAAGAAACAACCATTTCTAGAATTTAATGAGAATGGTCCAAAAAAGAAGATATCCAGTGAGCTGCAGTTCTATGGGCATAAATACCTTGTTGGTGCCGAAGGTCAGAGGATAATGCCCAGACTGAGTGTAACCGCTCTTTATAACCAAGGGTATGCAGAGGAACATCTCTGAATTCCCAACATATCGAATTTTGAAGTGAATGGGCTGCAGCAGCAGAATAACACACAGTTTTTCACTTTTGTCAGCTACAAACATGATGCAGAGGCTGCAACTGGCACACACTCACTAAAATTGGACAATATATTATTGCAAAAACGTTGCCTGGTCTGATGATTCTCGATTTCTGCTGCAACATGCTGATGGTAAGGTCAGAATTTGGCATCAATGCATCCTGTTTTGTAAAAAACACTTCAGACCAGTGGTGTCGTAATGGTGTGGGGGATATTTTCTTGTCAGACTTGGGGCCCCTTAGTACCAATAGACCATTGTGTCAACTCCACAGAGTACCTGAATATACTGTAGTTGCGGACCAGGTCCCTCCCTTTATAACCACAGTGTACCCTTCTTCTGAGGCTGACTTCCAGCATGATAGCCCTCCTAGTCATAAAGCGTGAATCATCTCCAAGTGGTTTCATTAATAAAACAATGAATGCACTGCACTGAAATGGCCTCCACATTCACTAGATCGCAATCATGTGGGGCACCCATGGGATGTGGTGGGATTTGCATAATCAATGTGCAGCCAACAAGTATGCAGCATCTGGGTGCAGCTGTCATGTCAATAACAACCAATCTCTTTGAGGAAAATTTCCAGTACCATGCCAAGATGGATTAAGGCAGTTTTAAGGGCAAAAGGGGCCTACCTAATAAAGTGAGTGGTGAGTTACATTACATTTTTCAACCTGGAGAAAAAAAAAACGCAGTCAGAAAGTTTTATTGACATGAAGAAAGTCTGTGAAGCTAAGACCCTGCACAAGGTGTTAGTGTTGAATACAGTAGATGTGCGTGAACGGGTAGATCTGGGTTAGGGGCTCTTTCGCCCCCAGGTTCTCACCCTGCTGGTGGAATGAAGGCTGAAAAATGAAGGAAGCGATAGGGAGAAAAGATGAAGAAAGGTGGTGAAGGGTTGTAGGAGGTTTGCAGTTTGACTGGAAGGTGAGGGCATCATTTGATTTAGAGCTTTAAATGTAGAGACTTATATGATGATTTGCTCAGGTCAGAGTGTTGACCTGTGAAATTAGGCTGGAGCCTGAGCTTACAAGGAAGCGCTTGTAGGCAAGTATCAGCGTTTTTGTTAAATTTACACCTGTGTCTCCTTTATATGTGGTGTCCTGACTCTCATTTATTGTCAGCACAGGGATAGGCCTAAAAAATAATTCTCGGGTAGAAACAGAGAAAAGAAAGTATGTGCAAACAAAGCAATGTAACTTCCAGTTGTACACAATGACTTAATGCTGGTTAGAGTAAAAAACCCTCTTTTTCATTTAACAAAAAACAAAAACAAACACAGTTTAAGTGTATTGCATGAGCATTTAATTGAGTATGGTGTTTAAAAGAAGTCAAGAAAATCTTAAAGTAACTGCATATTTTTATTGTATTAATCAAAAAAATCTGACATGACATTTCACAAAGACCCGGGAATATTACAGTACACCACATCAACTTTGGCCTTTCACCTCAGACTTTCAGACTACAGACCTCCCTACACACACCACTGTACCTTTGCCATTATATAGAGCTCTGTTGTCCACAAAAACAGTCAGACAGAAGATGCAAATCGAGTTCAAGTGAACATTTTACACTCTCACACAGACACACACAGTCAGTCATACAAACACAAAAGCTTCTGGTTGTGAGCTTTTGGAAATCACTGCATCACATAGAATGGGATATATAAGGAAGTTTTAGAAGAGAGGGCTTTTAGAACAACAAAGGACTTTAGTTGGATAGTGTCTCCAGGAAAAAAATATTTCCCATTGGCTGTAAGGTACCAGAAAATGCCAAAAACAAGTAAATGCCAGAAGAACATGACCACTAAAAAAAGTAAATCTACAAGTATAAGGAAAACAAAAGAATTCAAAACATCTCAGCTTATCTTTCCATATAAATACGTAGGAATAAAACTGTGCTTTCTTTACCTCTCTGTCTCTCTTGCCACCATGTCATTGTCAAATGCATCAGCTACGAACATTAGTCATGCAAGTTCAAACACAAAACAACAGCTGGCTGAAAAGGGATACTCACGCATGTTTGACACCACTGCTGCTTTAGTATTGGTGTAAGTATTTAGCTGAACTGGCTCCACGGACCTCAAAGATGCACTTTAGATTTATGTAATGCGCCAATCAGCCACATTCTTAATCAATTAAAGTCTGTTTTTTTAGCCATTCAAAGTTTGTCTTGACCCCTACCAAATGGTGTCAAAATGCTGAGTGTCCCTAGGTATAGGCATTGTCATTCATTTTAATTGGAAGAGTTAATTACACATCTAAAAAAAAGGGCATATAAATAACAATGACACTGATATAATACATCTACAATCCCCACAATAGACCCAGGTTGTGCTGCCTTGCTTTTTAACTGGGATGAATGTACAAAGTTAAAATAATTTCATTAGAATCATGTTATTTGGTGGTAGCAGCACAAAACAAAACAGATGATACATAAAAGATTTCATAACTGTAAAACATAAAAGCACAATTTCATCTAAAAATACCCACCTGTTTCTTTCTTGCATACAGATTATGATATACCAAAGTACCACAGAAAAGCTCATCATCTGAGCCTGTTCAGGCAAAGAACACAAGGGGACAGGCTACACACACCATGTTAGCATGAACAACCAACACATGTTGGCTCTCTATACAAATGAAACATCTATAGACTAAGACATCAAAAAGGAAGACCTTAAAGTCCTACTGTAACTGTCCTTTAACTAGAGTTGAGATCCTTAATTAAGCTGCAATTAATGATCTAATTGACTGAAACTCTACATAAATAGTTATTACAAACAGTGTAAGATTTTTCTCTCTCTTTTGCTAAACAATGCAATGTGGGAAGTTCAATATGCTAACCAATAAACCTCATAGTCACTTAATATTGCCTGCAGGTCTATGTATCACTAACAATGTAGGGTTGTAAAGTAAATGTAATAGTTGTTATTTCTGAAATGTCTTTACATACTCTGTAATGCCACTCCAAGCTATGTACCCTTATTTGACTCCATATTGCATTTTCAAATTATTATGTTATTATTATTCATTTATATATTTGACTGTTTCTTCCTGCTTTGATTGTTTTCTGAAAACATCTTAGCACTCTTGTATTTCAATGCAATATGACATTTTGTCCCTCCTTTTTTCGAGTGGTTTTAATGCAATATAACAACCAGAGGCCGGTTATGAATTGCTCCTAACTAGGATGAAATGCACTGATTGTAGTAAATATTTTAAGCAGAGATGCACAAAGGAATCATCTGGTGATCTCTACTCATATTTTCTGCTTGACCAGCCCAGCTTTATTAATCAGTTGGTGTAAAAAAAAAAAAAAATCTCTCATTGAATGCACAATACTAAATCAGTCTTTAATGTAGAAGCTGTTACTAAATGAAGAAAAACCAACTTTCCTTAGTGTTGAAAACTGAAAGGGAACCACAAAAAGTATCAAACGCTAATAAATATATATTTTTAAAAGACTCAACATGCTGAGAGTTGTCTGTTGGGAAATTGCTTCCGATAACTTTTAGTGAAATGCTAATTGTGAGTTTGTTCCTAAGGTGCTTAAAATAGTTTAAAATGTCATCATTCATTCGGGTCCCTCTAAAAGAAAACGTTACAACCCCATTGTACAGTGACCACTCTCTAACACAGTATGATTTAATTAAGCTGCTGTTTGCAGAAGGTTTGAAATAACAATATTTAAATATTGGTTATTATAATTCTTTAGGATTGCTTCCACTATAGGAAGCTTTAAAAATAACTATTGTTTTCTGGGGCCATTATTACTCCCATTTTTACCAGGGTAGAAAGTATCATAGAAATAGACCCTGATGAGGAGGCAGTGATTTTATATTGAGTTTAGTGGAAGGGGAGTACTCAGTTTTTCTAAGTGACTGATATTTTTGAACGTTCACCTTATTAAACATTATAATGTAAATTATTATAACTGTAGACTATTCCTAGTTAAAATGATACATGTCTTATATATCCTGTTAACTTTAACCACAAATGATCGTACTGTACAACCACCAAGTGATTTTGGGGCGGGGGGGTGGAAATCCATTTCAGGTAGTATTTTTCTTTTTTTTTACTATTAATTCTCAGTGGAACAGATAAAGTTAACTATAACTACCATGGATTCCTATCTTCAGGACATGTCTGGTCTCTGATGGGCAGGTCTCTGCTATTTTTCATTAAATATTTGTGGATAAAAAATAAAAATGCCTAGACTCTTGGGTTTGCGAAAAACACCAGGTGGTAATGACAGCTGGCTGTATTTATTTTCTGCATATCATTTTAACATGTAAAACATCTATGCCTTGTGATGTACTTTATATTGCCTGCATAAAGGTTATAAAATGTTGCCCCTGTGACTGACCAACTTGTTAAATTTGTATTGCTAAAAATCGAGCTTTTAATTCTCATTTGGAAACAGGTATCGCCCACAGCCACTGAGAAAAACCTTCACTGATACCCTTTACGTTCAATTGTAGAATTTCGTAAATAAAGCTGAAATGAAGATTGTAGTAAAAATATGTTTTCAAATAATAGGTTCTGGGTAAATTGTTCTTGGTTTTGTAATAAAAACACAACTTTGAACAAAAATAGGCATTGGCAAAAATTCTTGCAGGTCAAAGCTTTACAAATCAGTAATCAACCAGAAAAACCTGAGAAGTGCATCACTTGTTTGAGTCAGTCGAATATGCCGACGCACTTCAATGTGCCAATGAAAGCAGCTCCAAAAAAATAAAAACCAACCAAACCCAACAACACTTTCACAACAAATGATGTGCTCTACAGGTGCTGGCATATCTTTATGGGTCCATTGTGTGATTTACACCAAGGACGAGTAACGATCCTGTATAGGGGGCCACAGATGTTCATCGAATACTCAGGTTGCTACAAGTGTTAATGAAACATGCATGCACATTTAAACACATTTATTGTTTCTCAGTTGAAGACTACACTTTTGCATCGTGTTCCAGTTGTCACCGTTATCCTTCTGTCCACATTTAAGTCACTTAAGGAAATATTATACCTTGAGGAGAGTTTATCCAAACCTTTGGGACTGTTAATGAGTGGTGTTGTCCAGAGAGCAATGATCCACAAACCATTAAAGTGGTTTAGATGGCTTGTAGGAAAAGCTTTAGACTTGTGTCAGTTTATTGCCTCATAACGCTGTGTTTCCATTCGAGTATTTTCTAGTACAATTGACTATCCTAGTGAAGCAGTGTAAAGGGATCGTGCAGAATCAGTATGGGCAGTAAGGCAGCACATGCAGGGAGCTGGTCACGAGGAGGAGGAATCATGGGAATGGTGTACCATATAGTGGTGGCATCCATAGATAAATAAACACAATACAGGAGGTGTTGTGTGTGCGTGTGTGTGCATGTCTTTAGGTGTGTATTTGCATGAGTGAACACCTCCATGAGTATCTGGTGTCTGAGTTACTATTTTTTATTCTCCTCCTTCACGCTTTTATCGGTCTCTTTTCGTCATTAGTCCCCTGCACTACGCGGTGCCCGAGGGCTTCGTTTCCCATCATGGGTCCTGCGGTTTCTCCCCTTTCTTATCTCCTGGAAATGCTTCCACTTCTTACTGGATGGCCGAACAGCAGGACCCGAAGGCAGGATCTCCTTCCTTGGAGAAGGAAAAGTCTTTGCACCCTGGTCAGCACTGGCATGCTTTCGTGCCCAAACTTGCTCACAGATTTGGTCGACAGTGCTGAGGTTAGGGTGGTCCACCAGCTGCATGAAATCCCGGTACCAAAACTTTTGATTGGTCAGTGAGGAACCACCTGCGCTGCGAGGATCTAACCGTACAGGAGCGTCAGAGTGTAGTTTGGAGACAGAAGATGTTGATGGTACTACTTCTAGAGTGATGCCCAGTAATGTCTGTGTGAATCCGTGCTCCATAGCATGGCACTGGTAGACTCCAGCGTCCCTCTTTAGGACCCGGCGAATTAGGAGGCCTCTTTCTGTATGGAGGATGCGCTCATCAAGACGTACCTAAGGGCAACAAGTTTACTTCAGTTCAGCTCTCATTGTTTTAAGGTTTTAGCACATTGCATCTGTACCTTCTGATCTACTTTTTTGGATTTTATGTAACAGACCAACAAAAATTAGCATACATTTCTAAATGGGAGGAAAATGATGAATGGCTGTGAAACATTTAATGACTGAAAAAACCAAAGAGTGTGATGAATTTGTATTAAATCCATTTGTTTTGACATTAGTTGCTGCAATGAAAGCAGAGGTTATACCCTCTATTATTTATGTTACCTTGTGTTATTAAGACTTAGTGTAAAACTTAATCGATATCGATCTTTGGTTTTCAATATCACTACATTCTCTCTCTATAGAAGATGAATTGGATCCTTTATGTTTAACCTTCCAGCTGGACACCACTGAAGGAGCTATTGCTGCAAATGACTGTATACTGTTTTCCACACTCAATACAATCAACCAGTTTTTTTTTTTTTAACGGACTAAAGTAACAAATTAACCTTGCTAATAGCATTTTATTCGAAAAGAGAAATTAAAATGTATGTAACTTATTTTCAATCTTTCGACAAGCATTGATTTAACAGATTATATCTATGGATACAAATTTAATTCATTTAAACTACCAAAAGATAGTATTTGTAGCGATTGGCACCAAGCAAATAGCAAAAATTGAATCTCCACCTTTGTATTTGTGAATAGAGAAATTCTTGTCCATTCATCTTTGGTCAATAGCTTAATGCCAGATTTGTTGAAGTGAGCAGCAAACTTAGATTTTCCCTCAAATTATCAATTGGATTCAGTTCTGGACTTCAAATCATTCTAATACATAAATATGGTTTATTCTCAATCTCTATGTTGTGGCTGGCTTTACATCTAGGCTCTTTTTCTGGAAGTTGAATAGTCAGTTAGTTATAGTTTATAGACACCATGGGAGATGAATCCTACTTACCAGAAAACAAAAGGATAGATCAAAAGTTAATAAATGACATAATTTCGTGATTAGAAAACATTATTATGACTTCAGGCAGCATCAATACTATATTTTATGGTCCTCATCCTTCCCCTCTCACCTCTTCTCGGGGGTTCTGTGGATGTTTCTGGTAGGTCCAGGTGACTTTGGCCTGAAGGGATTTGGGAATGCACTCCAAAAAAGTGCTGCTTCCCTCAACTCCATACAGGGTCTTCTCTGCAACATGGTGCTTGTGGTGGTCTGAAGGGGGCAGCAGAGACACACATATCACAGGTTCACTTAATATGATAAAAGAAAACAATACCTCCTAAGCATGAAAATATCCTTACATTGGCCTATGTGTTGGAAAAGACATTTGAGAAAAAAATAAAACAAAAAAACTTTTACCTGTATGAAAGTTCATGTGAAGAAAAAAGACTATTACTTTTATAAGAGCTTCCTTTCCATTATTTCCTATCAGTGAGAAGAATTGTTTATATATTTCAACAACTAATGTCTTTACAGTACTTGATTACACCAACTGCTCTTAAACTTCAGCTAAAATAACTGGAAAAAGAAAGACAGGCTCAGCAAAGGAGGCTAAAACCCCAGATGCGCTGGTATGCCGCTTAAAGGGGAAACAATTGTGTGCAACCTGCCAAACAGACAGATCTGCACGTTGGGGCCAGTCCAGTCACATCAAGACAATTACACTGACCTTCATTAGTTTAACTTGGTACGTGGCTCTCTTGCCACATGATGTAATCGTATTACCCAGGAGCTCTTTCAGCTGGAGTGATTAGCCTGATTTAATTGTATTGCAGAAACACAGATATAGGCAGAATGCTTGTTTTGTTGTCTAGAAGGACAAATGTCAACAGAGGTCAATTATTTTTTCACTGCCTTTGTCTACGAGGACAGTAAGACATCAAATGCAAAAATGTTTCATGTGTCAAAGCAGGATCAGGAATGGCTTTCCTCCCTAGATGTGGAGCTCTTCAGACTAAAACCTGTTATATTCAATAGTTTGTTCTTTTTCTGACAAAATAATACATTAATAAACAAGGTTTAACAAGGTCTAATGTCAGAAAATCTCATAATATCACAACACAATGATCCTTTTAATTTATTAAAGTGAAGTTTCATTTTACAAATCTCTGCATAGTTACTTCAAGGGAAAGAGAATAGCTCTTTACAGCATAAACTAATAAAACTGCTCTACAGCAGTGTTCTGAATTAACTAAATGAATATGCACACTCATCCTTCTCATCAAAACATGTAAATAAACGCAGCTGCTTTAGTAATCCATAATAAAACGTGATGTAAGCAAAGAGAACAGGAGAGAAGTAAGCAGATGGTGCAAAATAGCATCATTGGCGCATACTAAATGGTAAAAAAATCTCTGTCTTGAAAGGCAAACGTTTATTTTTAAATCTAAATTTTATTATATATGAACTGATGGTTGGTTTCGATTGGAGATGCAAACTGAGCAAATAATGGTTTGGGATAAACTATGTATGTTCTTTGTTTATTTGCTTATTTTTCTATTTTTTTTTTTATTTATTTTTTTTTTGACCTGGCTGGACTCACCTTAATGCAAGTTGTTGTTAAGGGGAAACTTGAACAACCTTGTTTGTCTGATTGGCAAGCAACATTCAGCTATTTAAACTTTAAAGAAGCCCACATCATTGTTAAAATATCTCTGGGATAAATGTTTATGAAGGCATAAGAAAAAAAGATTAGCATAACTGGCTAACCAGAACTGCAAACCACAATAAAGTTGGTATCTGGTTTGGTCATTTTTGGCATCTAAAGGGCTATTTTAATTCTTTTAGCCTGGGATTGCATTTAATAAAATACACTTTCAAACATCAAAAAGTTGGACTCATCTAACTTGAACCAGGTGAGTTTAAACTAAACAATGATTTTAAATTTAAAATCAGTTTTCTTCCTTAAGATGATAATCTTGGAACTTAGAAAAAGCACATCAAAACAAGATGTATGAACTCTTAAAATTCCCTGAACTAAACATTCTACACACAGTTTGTTAAAAAAAACAAAAAAACAACGTTTTTAGTCAAAGCTTTATTCTATTTGGGAAAACAAAAAATATTGCTAAAATCTGAGCCCATCATTCAGTGTATTCTGTTTGGAAGCTCTGTGAATTATTAAACCTTCAGCATTCAGTATTATAAGTGTTGTAACCTTACCTCCTGAGCAAAGGGTGTTAGGGTCTCCATTCCTCACATCCTGTCGACGGAAACGTCTGAAAGGAAAAAACATTCTGGTTGCAGCAATTTATTGACTTTTTTTCATGTTTCTCTCCATACATGTGTCATGAACTTGTCACAGACCTCTTTGTATTTGGCAGATAGCGAGTACAAGAAGTTCCGTCCCAAGCGCAGTACGGGTCTCGGGCCAGGCAGCACTCAGCACAGGCCTTCCCATAAACGCTGCAGCGGTGAAGAGGGACTTGGGCAATTCCTGTGTCCGAGCCGACATACAGCTGTTGCTGTAAAAACAAGCAAAGACAAGTTGGATATTTTTGACAGAAAAGCCTGAAGACGGTTTTGCCTGTCAGGGTTAAAAAGGCTAGACCTGTTGTGGGTCATAAATCAAATGGGTTAGTTGTCTGTAACAGTGATAATTTAAGATGCCTTCAGGTAATTTGAGGTGCACTCTCTATAACTGTTCAGATTTAGTAAGGCCTCAGAGAGCTCTCTTTTTTTCCTGTTTGTTTTTTTCCAACATATAATCCTTGGTTGTCAGCTTATGAGCTTATTTTTCATTATTATTTATCAGTACCGTATATATTATTTTCATATTCACTTTACACATTAAACAGCCATTCAAATGTTTTCATTTTTTTATTATTATCAAACCAAACTTACCCTTTTGGAGGAGATCTGCATGTTGATGACAGATGAGGCATCCTACAGTAAAGGAAGGAAGAATGGACATTTGTACATTTGAAATAGATTTTTAAAAATCCCATTCTGTAGTAGTCTGTTTTATTTCTTTAGGTAAAATAAAAAGAGTAAGGTTCTAAAAATGTCTTGTAGTAGTAAAAATATTAGGTGACTAAACAAGCTGAAAATTCAAACATAAAGTTTTAAACGTCTATACTTAAAATTATATACACCCTGTAATAGCAAAACCATTGAAAGTAACCTTTGTTTTCTCAGTGACGCAGTCAAATGTAAGTTAGTTTTTTATTTAATTTCCATTCATTGGATGTGTAGCATTATAGGTCTAATTTGTTGGGAAAATAACTAGATGTACATAAAACGCTTAACTGCTGGGACAGAGAGTTCCCTTAAAATTTTAACAGCCTCTTTATTGTGGAGTAGATGAGCACTCACAAAGTATACTAATGATATGTAGACAAGTGAGATTTTCTGCTGCTTCCTATCCCTACTGGTTGATTTTAAACTATCACTGCACAGCTTCAAGTATTCTGCATCTAAATCAACCTTTGACCTGACTAATCCTCCACATTTATCAAATAACAATATTAACATTCACCTTATAAACGTGTAAGTGAAAACTGCTGTAGTGTTGTCACTGTGTAATAAATAGTGTAATATCTTGTAGAATAAATCCAGAACAACTTTTAACTTCATTTTGACTTTGGGGTTATTCTTTCTCTATATATAAAAACTATCATGAAATAAAAGTATGACTATAGTTCAAAGTAAGCTAGGGAAAATAAACCCACCATTCAGATGAACTGAATTAAGATGACAGCTTACAGTAGGTTAAGTGAAACCATGAAATATAAATAGATTTCCTCTTTAATGCACAAGATATTAAACATTTCCATTGAATTCTTACTTTGAAGACCTCCAGCTCTTCCAGTAAAAGTTCTTCCATGTTGTTCCAGCTCTCCTTGGGAACACTGATCACCTTTAATACTGTTCCTTTGTCTGAAATACCACATGAAATGATCTTAACATCATTTTCACCTTAGTTAAAAATAAATGTAAAGCAAAGAATAAGCTGTTACCTGTTCCGATGAACATTACATCATACTGTCCATCAGCAGCGTTGACTCTGTCCACCACAATCTGTGTGAAGCTGTAGTCTACATTGGTTCTAACAAAAACAGGTCGTCGACTCATTGGGTACACGGGGTTGTACATCAGAGGGTGGTGACGGGCAAACTGGATCACATCATCCGGGAAACCCTTCGTGGACTCAAAGCTCCCAAATGTCTTACTGGGACACTAATGGAAGGAAAGGAGAGCCTGGATTTCATTCCTATAAAAAAATTTGCAACAACTTGCTTAAAAAAAAAATATGTTCATATAACTTCATCAATTCCATAGAAACCTATTTTTAGTGTAGCTTTATTCAAGTGGGGAAAAAACAAAACTCAAGTTGCACTAAACCACACTCCGGTAGTGCCCCAGTGAGGTCATTATGGTGTGAGGGTTGTCAAGAAACTTGGAAGAGAATTACTCCAGGTCAGAGTCCAGCTACTCTCTTTAATTAAAATTCCAGTCCAGGATTTTTCTCCATACTTAGGGGCACTTTAGCACCTTTGGAAAACTTAGCTTAAAACTAATTAGGTTATTGCTTGTGTGCTTTTATTTGAAGAAACTTGACACATTACGCTGGTACAGCTTAACTACTGCACAAGCCTTGATTAAGGTTCTGCATCTAAAATCCAAAGAAACAAAAGTCATTTCTGCATTGGCCTAGATAAGCTTGTCTTACATTGAACAAGTTTAGATCTTTAGTATATATAAAAAACACTGACTAAAGAGGGCGTTTTGGAAAAAAAAAAAAGCTCAGAATAGCTTTTTCACTCAACAGAAGTACATCTTTGATTTGTTGATCAGTCTATCATGTAAATTCAAAACTTATCAGCATTTTATTCTCTTCTTTCTCTCTAAGAATACGGGAGCAATCAAACTGCAGTTATGAAATAACTGCCATTTCTTCAGGCAACTGGGAGAAAAGATAAGAATCAATTGAGCATCTTTTTTTAATATTATGTAATATCTTGTTTAATTTAATCACAATATCTATGATTGATAAATATATACAATGTGTCAGAGTCTAATATCTGTTAGCTAGTAAGCATGATATTTAAAAGTATAGTGAAGGATGCTCTTTTTCCAGGTGGATCATCAAAATAAGTGGTCCTCCTAATTGTCAATCATTCTGGTGATGTGTTTACGTAAGGCCGTCCTACGTGCTCATCCCCATATTCACTTAACAGTGAGGTGGAAATCTTCTTTTGGATAGTAAGCTTGTATGAGTGATGCAAACAGCAACGTTTAAACAGAGTGTGCACGCGGAGAAATGGGCTTATGCACGCTCTCGCACACGTTTGATAAGCAATCCCTTTCCGGAGCGAGTACAGGGTTGTGGATGTGCTTTTATTTTTTAAAGTGGAGAAGTCTTTTCAAAAATTAGCAAAAATCCTCCACTATACCTTTAAGTAAAGCAGATGTGCGTCAGCCAGAAAACTAGGCTGCAAAAATCTACAGTCGGGGTGAATAATGACAATTCAAAAAAAGCTAAGACAAAAAAAGACTGGATTAGAAACTATATTTTTCTGAAAACTACAGGGGGAATAAAAGGAAGGAAAAAAAATCTAAAGCTCAACTCTAAAAACATTTTAAATGTTTGATCTGTATTAATCCAAAATATAATTTCAGACTTTTGATACATCTTTAAATCAATGTCTAAGTGTTTCTGCACATCCTTACATATTTAGAGTCACATATTTAGAGTCAAAGCTGGAAAAAGAAAATATTGTGTAATTTATCCTTTCCATGTGAGTTTGCTGCAGCAGTTTTTTTTAAGTGCAAAGAAAGGAAAGGTATTCAGAAATGCTTGAACTGCTATAGAACACAGGGATGATAGTATGCTAACCTATAAGAACACAATTTGCAACGTCATAAATGACAAAGAATTGCATTTAACTCATTGGAATTTATTATCTTAATAAACTCTGGATGTTTTTACTGTGTCTCCGTTGTTTTGTCATTGCGGTTATTAACATACCATTCCTGGGCGAGGATAGGGTACTTTTCCCTGGAACGGGACCCATTGGTAGTTAGGCCCCTCTTTGTGTGCAAATGGCCCCAGGAAGGCCCTCCGGATGTCATTCATAGAGTAAAGACACACAGCTGAGCCTTTAAATACACTGCTGCTGGGGGGACAAGAGGAGCAAGGTTAGATACAACAAACACATTCATATCCTACATCCACTTGGTTTCCTTGCCATTCGCTTTCTCTAATGCACATATTCACACACTCTCTTGCGCATAAGCAAACATGCACATGTGACTAAACTCTGACCTGGAAGTAGAGAAGACGGTGTACACCAGAGGGTTCTTTCTGTCCCTTGTCTGCAGCAAGAACACGTCCCCTGAGGACAGACACACACAGACAGTCGGGTCAGGTGGCAGTAGCCCAAAGGTCGAAGGTTGGAAAAAAGATAAACAAAGCCCTATGGACATGTCTAACCACTTTAAAGAGACATTTCGCTGATTAGTGGGGGTCATGACATGAAACAGAATCCAGTGCAGCTTAATGCGGATGTCAGCAAACCCAATTTTACCTTTTAAACAAAAACGTCTTAAAGCATAACTTTTTAGATACCACAAGAAAGTTTACAACCTATTGTGGTCCATTTTTTGGAAGATATCTTTACCAGATAATCAGCACAGTTTTGCAGCAATGACTTTTCCACTTCTTGGCCTCAGGTAGAATCCTAAACTAATCATCAAGATAAGAGACACATCTTTCACATGGAGAAATGTGAATGACAGGTGTAGCCTAAGGTAAGGTTACGGTTTCAACAAAGTCTTCCACTTAGTTAACCTTTCACTTCGTCATGAGATGAACAAAAAGGCAGATCATATTATAGCCCACAGAAAGTTTCAGACTCTTTATCAGCGGCATCTTAAAGCAGCTGGAAAAACCGCATGACGAAAAAGGCCTAAGAAAAATATTACATAATTAAAGTCTTAAAACAGAATAGTGAATTTTGTTGGAAAATATAAAAAACTGTCAATTAAACGAAAATCAATTTTGGTAGCCCACTGCTGGTTAAATTAACAAATTTAAGCAGCTTGGATCCTGGTTCACTCAGATGTTATTATTTGTTATTTTCACAGAAGATAATGTTACACATTATAAACATGTTTTCATGGATTTTATTATGAATCAATATATTGACTCTAATATACCTAAATAAATTATTTGAGTTAAAATTAATTAAAAGTTGCCGGTAAGCACTTAAAAAAACGATTGTAAAATAGTGGTTTGAAAATTTTATAAAGGAAGGTTATTTATAGAAACGATCAATAACTTAACAGTTATGGAAACAGATGTTGTGGACATCCATCTGCTAAATTCAATTTTTACATGTTTTTACTGGGATCTTTAAAATATATGAACATCAGCCTAATTTTAACTCAAATTTCAGATATATCCCAAATGCTTCTTTCAGATCAATGCATTTTGTACGATAACCTGTTTTAGTATCTAAGTCAGAGTACAAATAGTGTTGACCTTATATGCAACACTACAAAAAATAAATAAAGTTCAGGAAATCTGGAATTTAATATTTCATTTGGTAAATCAGGTGGGGGACTTTTATATAATTTAACCTACATACATGCATATCTTTTCGGAATGGAATAAATGACTCAATAAAGTCTAAACCACATTATGTAAAAAACGTATTGCACCTTATTCTAATTATGAAATACTCCGACAAAATTTTAATAAAGAAAATGTTGCTTTGAAAAGTTAAAAGGGCTTAATTTTGAAGATTTTGAAGCCTTTCTAAATTGTTTTGACCTCTTTCTGTTTCAGGAAATATAAAGCAAAATTATTGGAAGATACACATTCAAGCACCATTAGCATTGCTGTAATTTTAATAGGCTCATTTTAAATTGTCTGGATTTTTACTGTAGGCTTTATGATATTATGGATTATAAAGTCTGCAAGCTGAAAGGAAATCTGCAATTAGCATTACCCTTCCTGGTGGATATATCAGATTTTCCTAACGTTGTCTCAGTTTACATCACCAGAAAGTTTTTCTGGGTAGAAATAAAGAGGTAAGGGTTGGAAAAGCATCCAGTTTCCCCTGCCTTATTTTAGCTTTTCACAAAGATATATGAATAAACAGTTCTCTAAATTGTACCACAGATTGAGTCAAAAAAAGTAAACAGAAAATATGTTTCATTCCCTCTCATGTTTTTTTTTTTCTTACATTAATTGCAAATCGAAGGGAAATAAGCTGAGGCAATAAAAACCAGGACCAGCTCCTCATGATTAAATTAACATGCTGCAAGTTTTATTTGAGTTTCCTGGATAACCTGAACCCTACATATTTTGTATGTTATATCATGCATAGCGAGGAAAGATCCAGGATTATTAGTTTCATTTGGATATTTTAGTCCAGACTGTGTGCACGGCAGACTTACGCAGCTCATCGAAGTACGTGTCACTGCCATCAGCTCCTGGTACCGAGCAAATCAGACGGGTCTTCAGGAATGTTGTCCACTTGTTCACCAGACTTCTCTGTCCACCCATGTCATTCTGACAAAATAAAAACCTTAGTCATGATCTGACCTTTACATAAGAGTTTCCAAACCCAATGTCTCATATTGTTTTATAATTATTGAGCTATCTCTTACCCTGCATAACTGTCCGATTCTGGAGTAAGTAGACTTCCCCAAACCCTGAGCTTCTACCGCTGTCTCCCGGAAGAAGAAAAAGATCTTATCATCATCTGGATTTTCACTCTCAGGGACCCAAAAGGAGCCGACAAACTTTGGTTCTGGTTGGAAGATTGAAAGAAAAATAAATACAGTGTCAGTCATCACAGCACGTTATCTCACGGGGGTGCTTGATGCTTATTAGCGAAACAACCAAAAGGACACACACCACTGAGCCAGCGTGAGTCATGTTGTTCGGTGCGAATGGAGGGACGTTTCCCCAGACTCCTGAAGATGGTGAAGTCTCGTCCCATTAAGTCTGTGGCTACACCTGCATATAGCTCATCCCCTGGGAAACAGAAGTAATCATAAGTCTACACAGTGCTTGCAAACATTTTCATACCACTTAAACTTCTTCACAGTTTGCCAAATTGCAACCACTGACCTAAAAAGTTTACAACAAGTAACAAGCAGACAGCTCTCATTGCAGAAGTTGCGAAATGCAGCTCCAAGGACATAAGGTTTTCAAATAAAATTATGTTTCACTTAAATATATTAAAGTATTTCCCCAACAGCTTTGCATATAATGAAACTAAAGGTTTACATATTTTAGACTGAGCCAGATTGAATGGAGAGTGTTTGTAAGCAGGAATTTTTCTTTAGTTGGATGTAACTAGGCCTAAACTGTGACTAAACCATTCTAATACAAATGTGCTTTAATATAAACCATTCTAGTACATTTCTCGAAGTGTTGTATTGCTGCTAAAAGATGAACCTCTAACTACAGCCAAAGTCTTTTAGCTTCTAAATGGTCTTTATTTCAAGTAAAAGGGTTGTTTATCTCAATTCATTTTCATTTAATCTCTGAGGATGAACCCACATGCACAGCATTAGCTGCCATCATGTTGTGTTAGTGTTCCACCTGTTATACATTAAGCTAGACTAAAAGATTAAGCTGCTTCCATGTGATTTTTTGGGTCCTAATTTCACCTAATTGCCACTCTGGGTTTATCTTGCTGCTATCACATTTGTGCATAACCAATATTTTCACCTGTCTACCTGATATTACCGTAGTTTTGTTAGATGGCCATGTTTTGTTTGGTTTGCACTGTACTCTTTCCATTTTCAGATTACCAATTAGCTACCATTATGTAAGATCCACAAAATCTGTCCTAACTCTGCTTTAACTTCTTCTTAACTTTCATCCTCACCTGCCTGGTATGTTACTTTGTGGCCAAAAAGCTTTTTGTTGGCAAAAGTTCAAAACTTTGACCACAAAATGTATGTTAAAAGTTAATTGACTTCTGAAAGCCATTAATTAAACTGTATGTATTAAGAAGTATAAACATTGATAGAGCTAAAAAATAAATAACATCCAAATTTTTTAGATTTGTCTTCAATAAGTCTAAGAAGATTACATTTTTGTCTTGCATTTCATAAACGTATTGTGTTGTTCTTGCACATTCATTATTAAAATTGAAGGCCTACTTTGGGTTTTAGATCAACAAGTATGAGCTCTTAAGATCCTCTAGAAAACAAATTATAGATATGTTGATGACTAATGATATTTAGATCTATATTTATATCATATTTATATGATATGTATATCATAATGTTTAAAGATATGAGATCATAACTTAGAACAAGGAAAATACAAATGCATTGGTTAATAGTAATGTTTGTATTGTTAAGGTAACACTTGTTAACAGAGTTTTCAGAAATGTTAGTAAACTAAAAATGTATGTTTCTGCTTAGTGGTTTTCTTTTTTCAGAAGCGCAAAAGTTTTGGGGATTTTTTTTTGTCAAATACACAAATTTATATTTAAATTAATTGAGGTTTGTGGTCATAGAAAATCTTAAAACAAATGTTAAGGGTTAAATGTATCTCTTAAGGAACTTTAGTTACAGTCATAAACAGTATTAGACAACAATAAAGGAATATTTAGTCACATAACGCACAATAAAAGAGTCAAATGAGTAATCGGTTTAGAATATTTGTATAGCTTCAGTTACCGATCAGCACAGAGGCGGCGGTATGTCGAGGATCATATGGACTCTTTCCTTTACCGTCCTCCACCTTAGAGGGGTCAATCTTAAACACATGGTCCTGATGGGGAAAATAAATTATTTTTTGTTATGGCAGGAAAGCATGCTGACCATCAAATAGTATTTTTGAACTTTAATGAAGTGTATCAGCTTGTTGTGTTTGTTCTTTACCTCCATCCTGTGTCCCACCTCTACAAAAGCACAGGTAGGATGGAAGGCCCCGGTTCCACAGGCATACAGATGCGTACGGTTATAGTGGTGCACAATCTTCACATAGTTGACACAGTCAGACTGAAACAGACATACAGATTGTTCTCATTTTAATCATACAGTAGTTTAAATAGTGATGTTTCCTTATTTGCCAAAATGTTTACTATTAATGCTTCTTCTGATATCATGAACAACATTTATAAAGATTTTTTTTTTTTTCACGGGGAGCTGTACTAGGTTGAAGTTGGACATTCTGTCCTTCGGCTTATTGATGCACATTCCTTGCATAGCTCCTCATGCTCTGTGCCTGTGACAACACGGCCAAGCTCTTAGATCAAACTCCAGCACACTGTTGTGACGCTCTTTGTGTCCTGGCTCAACACACACAAATGCCTGCAGTATGTTTTTTTTAGGAGTGTCCCCAGCTAACCACCAAAATGAACTAAACCAAAAATCCTTTGCTTAACAGATGAAGACTTTGGTTGATAAATAATATCAGTTCAAATTAAAAGGCAACAACCTGGATTTCATAACGTTTAATGACACCTGGTACTTTGAAAACCACTCCATGTCATCTTTGGGGTCCCTCCTGCTACACATATACAGCTTTCAGCATTTTGACCTCTGTCTGATCCTTCCTTTTTCCTATCCGATAGCGTAGTATTGACCCCGACACACATTGGTCCATCTCAGACTCGCGTTACAGTGAGCTTGTTCTCAGGGGACCACTAATAAATGACTTAGTGTACTCTAAGAGAATATGAGCTACATTAGCAATGCAGCCTAAGAACAGGGCGCTCTGAGGAGAACGACACATTAAATAACGAGAGTGCGAACATAATAATGAGCATTATGATTATCATTAATAGGATTTTCTCTATTTGTATTTTACATCCTTTTGATTTGACTGTCAAAATTAGCATTAGCAATCTGCCTTGGCAGCAATAATAGAAAGTTTCCCTTGGTCGATGCAATGACGCACAAACTGCAGAGACAGCAAACTATGCAGGTCATCAGCGCTTTTTCCACTAGTATGGAGAACAGGATTAGAAGGATGGAGCTGTGGGAGAATAAGTTCTACCAGTTGCTTCGCTGAGTTTCCTGGAAATGAAATTCTTTATCTTTTTTTATTACCTGTTATTAAAGTCACTAAGTGTTTATAGTGATGGCTTCACCAACAACACAGGTTTCACTTTAAATGTGGTATTTCATATTCTGCACAATAATCTAGACTGAGAATCAGCCTTACAAGTTAAATATACATTAACTAGATTTTTGTAAAGTGCACCCAGTGATGTAACTCTTGGTGTCTAAAAAGTGCCATGCTGACACTAACATTTATATAATTTAAACCTTTATCATAGTTTGTCCAACAACAACAGGAAAATAAATTCAATTTTATAGGACACTATAGGATGGACCGACACAAAGCAAACATACTTGGAAAGTGAATTGGAAATTATTTGCTGTTCTATTTATTTTTACTAAAATAATTTGAATTTATATGCATTCATCTTTTTTTCTGATTTTCCTTAAGAGTGTCTGAGTTCACCCGCGTGATATGTAACATCAGCAAAACTTCAGCTGTTCTGGAAAGGACTCAAAGGTTGAATTTAAAGTATCAGAGAACAAAACCCATCAAAAAACCAAGAAAACACCATAAAGTTTATCTTGTTTCCTGGGGGAGTGGTGATCTAGTGGTCCCACAGGGTTAGTGTTAGTCCCACTCACTCCCACAGACTGCAGCTCTGGGTCCTTGAGTAAGACCCTTAACCTCAGACTGCTCCCCGGGCGCCGCACAATGGCAACAAACTGCTCCCCAAGGGGATGGGTTAAATGCAGAGGGTTAATTTCGAAGCTCTGTACTTGTGACAGTGTAATGACAATAAAAAGTTAGAAAATTAATAAATAAAAA